CTAGCTATAGATAGAACGAAAGCAAATAAAAGTCTTCTTTTCCTTCTTTCGCACTATGGGCCAAGCAAATGTAATACGGACCCAAACACTTGATTCTTAGTCAAAATCTGAGTTTACATTAATTTATTGCGAAATAAAGAATTTGTAAGATTTTACTTCTTTATATTACGTTCAGAATCAAAGAAACTATGTTCTGTGTGTTAATTTATCTACCGACTTTTAGAAAGCTCTCCAAGTCGATTTCTAAACATTTTTACGCCATCTATAAATTTTTTTCGTACTCACTGTAAACATTTTTATTTCGGTGTACACATTAGTATTTACGTTTTGCCATTTAGAACTGTGCCGTATTATCCTACATATTTTTCTTACCAGTGGCAGTTTCCATTCTCTAAACCAGGGCTCGCTGACGTCAGTCCAACCTTTCTGTTGCGTATTCACACAATGTAAACCAGCCCGTTCTTTTGTATGGCTTATTAAATTACATGCATGTGGTTGGAAGAAATTTGTTTCTTTAATGTCAAGTATACAAACAAGATTTGAGTCCTTGCATAGAATTTCATTATGTTATAAACTTTGAATAACAAAACTGAAGGAAATAACATAACATCGTAAATAATATGAGAAATTTTACTGTTGTTAATGGAGAAAACGTTCATTAATTTGTTTCGAAAGGGTCCTTTTCGTTTTATTTCAAAATACCCCTGAGGAGATATCAACTTTTTATTGGCAATGTTTTCTGTTATATAAGTAAAATTTCAAGGTATTAAAATTCCACTGTTCTAAAAATCCTTTTGCGCAAAAGTTGTCTTTGTGTTTTGTGTCTGTAACGCAGTATTCAGAAGAACTTTTCAAATAATATTTCGTGTGTGACGACTTATTTATCTTAGTTTTTCTTACGTTTACTGAAAAGTTGGCAAGCTTGATTTGCAATAACAGCTCAGTTCCTCAGTCGTCAATGTCCAGCGCTACTGTGAAGCCCTTCGAGGCCTTCGTCCTGCCATCAAGCATAATGCTCACGAGGGATGGTCTTTGTGTTGCACAATGCCGACCCCAATGCGGGTCACAATGCTCAGGATATTCCGTGCTCCATCCGATGGGTTGTACTGGACCATCCACCACATATCCCGGAACTACCGTCGTGTGACCGGTTCCCTCAGGAAAGCGATGAAGGACCGTAGATTCGGGTCGGATGATTACGTCAAGGACGCGATGGTGCAATGGTTCTAGAAGCAGCCCAGGGAGTTATTTGCGGATAGGATTCGTTGCCTGGTGCTTCAATGGGATATCAGCCTGAACGTCCGCGAAGAATATTTTGAACGGCCTGTTCTTTCGACCAGAGAAATCTCCGAACGGGTTTCATTTGAACAACCCTAAGTTCTTCCAACGACTGTTCTATTATTTACCACCGCTGCGCCTCATAGTGGTCGTTTTGTGTACAAAACAGCCTCGAGAAAAATAGGACAGCGATCGGCCAGAAAGAGGACCACAGACAGAAGAACGCAAACAGCAGAGAGACAAATGCAGATGAGAGACTTTTGATGAGTCAGTTTGATGGGTTACTCTTAGGCCGTTCAAAAAGTTGGGCGCCCACAAAATTATTTAGTGTAAATAATGACCTCCCAGCCCTTTCGTTTAATAACCAGATTCCTCGCGGTGTCCAGCGCCGCCTCCATTCTACCGATGGCGATTGTCTGACCAGTTCCTATTGATCAGCCCAGTGACGTCACAGGTGACGGTCAACCCCATTACAGCTTCATCAGTAGAGTCCGTTGCATTCGTCTCCGTATTCTCGAATGAACCCACATCCAGACGAATTTCTAAAGGATCGGATTATTTAAGTTTATTTATCAGATTTTAAAAAAATGAATACGTCAGCATGACAGTGGGGTCTGTTTCGGCGAACTTCGTTACCGTCTTCAAATACCGAGACATTTAAAAATAAAACTTTCAGTACACAAGGCAGCGTTTACGAAGGTGGTAGTCTTCAGGGTCGTAGCGCCGTGTGGTCTGGTAGAAGTTTACCGACGTTACAGATATTCTTGAGTCGATATGTCATCGCCTTGATGATGGAGGCAGTAAGTACTTTTGAAACGACCGTAAACTTCTACCAGACTACACGGCGCTACGACCCTGAAGACTACCATCTTCGTCCTCGCCACAATAAGAACGTAAAATCCCACTAACGATATACATCGCTCGTAGCATGTTACGGGTTAATACACAATTCCTGCTAAGTTCTCTAAACAGATCAAAATATCTGGAGAGAATAATGACGTCATAATTGTTCTAATTTATTTTCTTTTGAAAGAAGACGAACTTAAGAGTTAATGAATGTTTGCGGAAAACGTGAAGTTGAACAGCTTGTACTTTAACGTTATTTAAAACATCAAATTGGAACAAATGTTTCAACAGTCTAACAGGCTTTCTTAAAGAAACGCGGATATCTGAGGTTTAACTAAAAGGCTCTTGTATTTCACTTTAACCTAAATCCATATTCCTAACCAGATTGTCTTCAATAACAGGAATGGAAACAGACAGGGATTTTCAGCGAAATGAGATTCATAGTCGCTTCTCTTGCAAAGAGAAAACAATATAATTATCGTACTCCAACGTTGTTCAGTATCATCACAATAGTTCACAGACACTGCACTGAGACAATGCGACAACCACAGCGTCTTAGGCCCTTCATTCCCCAGGTGTATATCCCTAAATACATTATCTTTCGCGAGGGTTCCCTTGCAAACTTTCTCAGATTGAATTACAACTAAGGTAAAAGAACTGATCTAGAAATAGACCTACTCCTCTGTTTCTGTACTGAAAATGTTTTTGAAAATCGATTTGAGGTTATCACAGAGGCGAGCATGAAGATGGCTGTCTTCTGGGTTGTAGCGCCGTGTAGATTACCGACGTTTCAGAGGTCCTTGCTGCCTCCGTCACCAGTCATCGCCCTGACGATGGAGGCAACACTGGCCTATGAAACGTCGGTAATCTACACGGCGTTACAACTCAGAAGACAGCTAGCCATGTTAGAATTTGTTCCTAGATCTTTAAGTTCTGACATATTGATTTAAATATCCTATTCTATTCTATTTGAGTTTAAAATTTTATAATTTACACCTGATGACGGTTTGATAAACCGAAACATGTTGTGAATGTTCCGATGTAAATCGAATGCTCGATATGGAACATAAGATGATATTTTAATCATTTTAATTATCTTATCTTACTATTTTATTGTGATTTGACGGTAAACAAATATAATAATTATTTTAATTAATATCACAATATGACGCAACTATACTATCTCAACCCCTATTCTAGTATTGTACAAAATTCCTCGAAGGCAATACATTTTAGGTATTTTAGCTTGATTATGTTTTATACGTATTAATTAACAAGTGTAAGCTAAGCTGAACTTTCTGCAGCTGTATGCATTATTTGCTCAATGTTTCGTCTTGGACAAAACTTAAGAAAACCGACAGATGATCACAGATAATATAACAGGCCAGGAATAGATAGATATTTAGCAAAAACATATATTTTCCTGTTGTCGCTAAAACTGACAATTAAGAATAATCTAAATGCTGTTATTTAAGAGTGCAGTCAGTTGGAAAGTTTCTGTTATAAAGACGTTAGGCTATGACCGCGCGAAATCCCAGCAGAAACTTCACTTCTGGGTAATAGGTTCGGCTCTTGTGATATATAAGGATCCTTCTCCTCGTAACGAAGATAGATGTTTCGGCCCTGACCCTCGTAATTCAGTGATTTCCTCACGTGAACCCGGCAGCGTCTGTCTCATCTCGTAATGGAACTTTAGACCGACTGACTCGAAGTAGCTTTAACCCCGTACTTTATTAGCGCAGTTAAGACTCGTCATGCGTCTTCGAACGCTTTGCCTCAAAGTTACTCTGAATCAAAACTAAACACGAAGTTTCGCTGAGTCGCTTGTATAAATGCAATTTAATAGAGAGTAAAGACGCCAGTGAGAAGTAATGCTCGCTTTCACACAGCCACATTGATCGGTTGACATGAAACGAAATATGTGTCATTATCTTCGTCATAATCACCATAATCATAATAATCTGTTTACAAGAATTAAAATTAGTTGAAATCCCAGGTTTTCATGACGGCGAATATGAAGGTGGCTGACTTCGTGGATTTTGAAGAAATTTCCCTGGTGGTGGAGGGAGCAAGGACTTCCGAAACGTCGGTAAATCCTACCAGAAAACATGGTGTTATAATCTAACTATAATCGACTGGAGATGAATGTAATAATTTAATTAGTGTTCTGTCTGACGACAGGTCCATATGAACAGGATCCTTCCATCCTTTTCTCGGACTGGGACCTGTTCATATACGTTCTTGGCAGATGATCCAGAAGTGGTTTGCCATTGCCTTCTTCTGTGTGTGAATGGAGAAACCGGGGAAGCCCCCGGAGGCAAACTCCGTGTTGCCTAGACCACGGCCTTGCCCAACACAAGTTATAAATTCGGGAAACCGCCGGGAATCGAACCCGAGACCCCAGGATTACAAGGCCAGCGTTCTAACCGCTAGACCACCGTGACGGTTTGAGATGAATGTAAATGAAGATAATTTGTTCGCTGTGTTATATGAATGAGACACGCCTGTTACTTTCAGGGATTGACGTATGTCAAAATTTGTCAAAAAAATAATTCACAAAAAATATTTCTACGTACGAGGAACGAAATTAGAATATGTTAATGTTTTATACAGGTCACATGCAGTAATTATTTGTATAATAAGCAAGTTTTGATTGGTGGCTTGGTTAATGATCATTTGATGTTTTGGGCCTTATGGGATAATGTGATCTCTGCAGTTAATATTTAATTACACGTGTTTATTACTTTAGATATTCCCGTCATTATTAACGGACAGTATACTAGTAGCAATATAAGGAGGTTGTGATCGCACTTGGTTAGCGTAAAACAGAGGAATATCAACCTTACATGTATTTAATTACAAAGCATCTGACTGACCTCATTGGCTTGAAGAGGGCTTGGATGTTGTGTGGGTAGTCGATAATGAGCTTGATCTGAGTTCCACCATCCTTCTGACCTGTGAAGTAAAGTCGATATGTATTAATTATCAGATTAACATACGTAGTTTATGTTTTAAAAAAGTAGAAAATACTTGTATCTACATTTCTGACAAAACTTGTGGGAGAGACCCTCTGAAATTCAATGAAAAATGATTTCCTTTGTATCTTAATTCATCAGGCCTACAATATTTATTCTTAATTAATTGGCTACCTGAGCGACTATCAGCTAATTAAAAAAGACTCTTCTTTACGGAGTTAATCTTTAAGAATCATAGAGGTAGTAGTTAATATGGCTCGTCTATACGTCTCATTTTAAAACACTAAAAAACATAAGAGTGCACCGTTAAATAGGCTGTTCATTTAACTTGCCGTACGTTAAGCTGTGATTGGATTTGTACTGCGCTGTCACAACTAAGGCTGAATGGCAGCCATTAGCTACAATAAAACCACGTAGACCGCAAAACACACAGAGACACGATACACGTTTGGCGGCATCTGTGATTAATTTGAGTTGGGGCAACACACCAACACACGCGGGAAGCCCTGACCACACACCCAATTCGGCTACCGCGACTACATCCTCTTCGACCCTGCCGCAAAACTGGACCACTAATCGACAATCTTTCAAATTACAGCGACAACCACGCGCAGGGACAGTCCGAACAAAGATATTCCTGTATGGTTTGAGGTTTTCACAGCGGCGAGTATGAAGATTTCTGTCTTCTGGGTTGTTGCGCTGTGTAGTCTGGTCGATGTTTACCGACGTTTCAGAGGTCATACTGCCTCCATCATCAGGGCGATGAAGATTGGTATCTTCTGGGTTGTTGCGCTGTGTAGTCTGGTCGATGTTTACC